ATATATATATATTTATTGTCGAAAAGATTGGAAAAGGAAAGATGAGCTAAAGAACTTGAGATTCTAAAATAAGTTTTGCTATAGGAAGGAAAAAGGACATTTTGTGATCTGCATATGAAATTATAGTGTACGTTCATAACTTTAGTATATAATTTGCTTAAATATAAAGATTATAGTTTTAATCATTTAAAACCTTAGATAAATCAGTAATGAAATAAAATAATAGCTTAAAACATTTGAACTTTAAAAGTAACAGTAGTATTTTACTCTGTAAATATTTCTAGTACTAGTTTTTTTATGTTTAGGTCTCGTGACAACTGTACTGTTATAATCTGTTAGTCTGTTATAGCTTATTAAACTCCTATAAAGTTAGACAGATACATACAACTTGTCTCTCACCTATTGTAAGTTGGCTAATTCATTGTACCTGAGAATACGAAAACTCTTCTCTTATTTCTCTCCAAACATAACAAAATAAATGCCCAAAAAACCAATGCTATTTTGTTTAACTAATACATTTGGAAAGATTTTCTACTTTGAAATCTCAACTACGTTTGCAAAGGCATTAGACAACATAGACAATGGAAAAAGAAGAAAAGTATTATAGGAGAGGCAAAATAAAATAAAAAACGTTTATTTTCTCGTACCCAATCTGCAGCCGCCTGTAATGTGACATGATCATTTAAAAAATGACACATACTATACGTTTTTATCTTATAAGGCCTTTTAGCAGTAGTAGTTCCAGTAAGCTCTGCTTCATAATTATCATCAGAGCTAACATCATCCAATATTAATGCTTAGTTATTAATATCAATAGTAAATCACAATATATCAATAGTAAATATTAATGCTTAGTTAGAAAATAGAATAAAAGAAGCATAAATAAATTAAAGAAAACAATAGCATAAATAAAAGGACTAGATACCAGCTTCTGGTTACGCTTCCCTTTCCCATGGCATTAAACTCCTCAACTTTATGCTCTTATACTTGTCTCTTAACAACTCCTTCCAACAAAGTTTCTCCCATACTTCCATCAATTACAATGAAGTTTCTAGTATTACCTTTAGTCCCACAGAGAAATCTGATTGATATTTGCCGTCATTATTCATAGATATCACAAGTAGAAGTGTTGATAAAACAATAGTCAAATCCTACAACCAACAATTCAGAGAGAAATGAGATAGTGTTGCACTTGCATACATACATCATTGAAATGGTGATTCGTAAAGCATCAAGATGATAACAATAAGAAATATGTCACATGTTTTAGGTTAAATGTGATTTTTCACTGGAGCAATTTTACAAACACCTTACGGCTTAAAATACCATTTCAATTTCACCAAAATACCCCAAAATGTCAAAATCCATTTGGGTCTCAGAATGCACCCAACTCAACACCTAACAAAATCACGTTTATGAATCTAAAAAATGGATCAAACACTACAAGAACAAAAAAAAAGAACCTGAGAAGGGATGACATACCAGAGAACGACGAAAAAAGTGTCCAAGGCAACCATTTTTTCCTAACTTCTGCAACAAGATTTCTGGATGGAAAAGAGAAGTGGGGAACATTAATATTAGGATCTAAATGATGTTTTTTCACCCTTTCTACGTTTTCGGAAGATGCAAAATGCCAAATGAACCAGCGGTGAAGACGAAACTAGGGTTGGGTGCATTTTCAGAAGATGAAAAATGCAAAATGAACTAGCGGTGAAAGCGAAATTAAGGTTGGGAGCGAGAGTTATAGTGGAGAAGATGCAAACAAGCAGCGAAGGAGAAAATGTTGTTGGGGAACGACAACCATAGTGGAGAAGATGAAAAACGAGACATGATGGGAAAGGTGGAGAAAATGGAGAAAATAGGGTTTCAAAAAGAAAGGTGGAGTGAAAATATGGCACACATTAAAAATGAATAAAAAATTATGATTTAATGTTACCTATTTTTGTTCAGAATCTCAAATAGGACCCTTTCTTTTTTGACATCTCAATTGGGTCCTTATTTTTGTAAAATTGAATCAAATAGAACCTTTCCGTCAAATTGATCAGACGGTGTTAAATAGGACATGTTGACTGTTTAGTTTTTTGTTATGTGACATTGAAAAGTGACTGAACTTTTTTTATTATTTTTGAATTAAAAGATAGAGTTTAAAGTGAGGGCAAAGTTGGGAAAGCCCCATTTAGGAATTTAGGTCTTTTTATTTATAATTGAAAAAAAGAAATTGATTAGGGATACAAACTTTTTTAAAGTAGAATTAAGATTAATTAATGAAATGATTTTTTTATTTAATGCTAATTTTTATTCCTAATTAGTTTCTGCATCAAATTTGGTAAGTTTAAATAAAATTAAAATTTCCTTGTTTTTTTGTTAATGGAGGGTCACTTTACAGAGATCCTAAACAAGGGTCTAGACTTTGGGTTCAACTTTGAACCAAGAAACACAGTGGGTCGCGCAAGGGGCAAACCTTTCCCAATCTCGCAGGCAACCGACCTGGAGAATCATCTATGGCGCTGCGATGGCGGCAAGTGCACGACGATGGCGTCGCTGACGGTGCAGTGATGGCGCAATTCAAATAGAACCCTTCTTGCCTCTATCCTTCAGCGCTTCCTCGTAGGGAGAGAAGGGTCAGGTTCAACAGAGATGGCGTGGCGGAGGTTTACTTTCTCCTCTCCGTTTTGGATCGCGGCGCAAGAGAGAGGCTTCCTCCTCCTTTCCGTTTCGTCTTACAGGGGGAAAGAGATCTTGGCGGTTTGCGGCGTAAGGGCAGTGACGCCGTAATTTGGCGAAAGCAGCGGTAGTATCGAGTTTGGGTTTAGGGTTCCTGTTGTTCTCTGATTTTGGGGATTAGGGTTTGCTAAAATTGGGAAATTAGGGATTTCTGGTGTAATTGGTTTTTTATTCGAATAGAATTGGTGATTTACGTATTGTTTCTGCGTAGGGGTAGAGCATTTCTGGATTGTTTTGGGTTAGATTTCTTATCGTAGCAGAGAGAGTGAGACTTTCTGTAATTGAATTTAATTAATTCTACTTTAAAAAATTTTGTATTCCTAATCAATTTCTTTTTTTCAGTTATAAATAAAAAGACCTAAATTCCTAAATGGGACTTTCCCAACTTTGCCCTCACTTTAAACTCTATTTTTTAATTTAAAAATTAAAAAACAAAGTTCAGTCACTTTTTAATGCCACATAACAAAAAACTACTTATTTGACGGAAAGGTCTTATTTGATTTAATTTTACAAAAATAAGAACTCAATTGAGATGCCAAGAAAGAAAGGGTCCTATTTGAGATTCTGAACAAAAATAGGGACCTAGAGACATTAAACCAAAAATTATTTACAAATTTAAGGCGTTAAGCAATCCCTAATAATTTATTTTTTAAAAAAATAAAAAAATAACTTCACTATAACTATTCATAATAACAATTGAAATTTTTTAAATAAAAAAAATTTTAAAACATAGTTGCCGTTTATTATTGAAACCGTTATAATTTTCTTAAGATTTTTCGGCCGTTGCTAAAAAAACCTCTCCTATAAGATATAATTTTTGTAGTGCATGATGGGTTTTCAAAATAATAAAACCCCTTTATCAAATTTTTATTTATATCTAAAATTTTTATTATTAAAATAATTGAGTTTCATTATTTTAAAGATACTATCAATTCTAAAATACAATTTTCTAGACTTTTATATAGATAAAAAATATTATTCAATATATATATTATATTTAATATGTTTAATACAATCTTGATTTTAATATATCTGTGTTATCCTTTCAAAATTATTTGCTGTATTAATCACGAAATTGCTAAATTAAGTACAAAACATGCGCGCGCACATATATATATATATATATATATATATATATATATATATATATATATTCTATGTTTCATATTAATGCAAGCAACCGCATGCAATGGAGTGTAATTAATGTGTAGAACAATACGAGCAACTTTAGGGGGACACGGATCAACACTCTTGTTACTGTCATGTTCAGTGTTCCTGCCACCTCTGCTCACGTGAATGCCTTCTACACGATACCATTATTACATTTGAAAAAGAAAAAAAGAATAAAGTTAGAAATCTACTAGAAGAAGAATAAATTATTGTAGGTAAGTAAATAATGTATAATTATTTTTTGGACTTATGTAAAATATAAAATAAAAATAAAAATGTGAAATATATTTAATGAATAATTAAGTTTTTGTATATTCTCTTTATTTCTGAAGAAAATATTATTAACAAAATTGGTAGTTAGGATGTTACACGTATCAAATGGTTTCATTATTTTTATTTTTTTAATATTTTTATTTATTTTTTATTTTTATTATGTAGAATACTTTGATAATTTTTTATATAATTATTTTTATTTTTTAATTCATTGTTATAAGTATAATTTTAACACTGTGTTGTAAATTTTTTATTATTATAAGAAATTCATGTTATTATCATAAATCTGGTTTAGTAATCAGACATTTGAAATACTTTTAAATTTGAATATTTTTAATATAACTTTTTAAAAGAAATTTTAAATTTATCAATTTTTTTATTAATATTTTAAAAATTTTATAAATGTTTTGATTGTTAGAAAATTTTATGTAGAATTGTAAATATTTTATATAATTCTTTCACATTTATTTAATTATTATTTCATATTCTAATTTAAAATTTATACAATTATAATTTTTTTCTATAAACATTTATATAAGAATATGCATGTCTTTTTTATATCAAATATTTTATAACATTATCTTTCTTTTCTATTTATGTGATTTTTTTCTATAAAAAATAATTAATTCATTTTAAAATAGATATGGGTATAGGTACATGTATGCTCGTTACAGATAGAAATAGAATGAAACAAAAATCTTATACTATGAGATATAATGAGATAAAGAAATTTGTCCTCGTTCCGTTTTCATTCCTACACTTCTCATGCTTAAGTCAATGAGAATAATTATATGTACAATGATAATAAAGGTAAAGAGTATGAATTGAATCTAATAATTGAGTATGGGTTTAATTTACTTTCTTTAAATGGATGTTGTATTTATAGGTTTACAAGAAAATGAGTAAAAAAAATATTAAACAAAATTTAAATAATAATCAAGTATTATATTTTAGAAATATTATATATATTATATCATAATATTTTTAGAAATATTATATAATTAATTATTATAGTATAAGATATTAAAGATATTTCACAATTCTAACAATGAACATTGTGGATAAAAAATAAGAAAAAAAAAATTGTCTCATGGTATAAGGTTTCGATGTACCAAATAACGTATAAGAAGGAATCGCACAAATGCATACCAATCTTAAGGAGAAAATAAAATAACGAGGATCCTTAAACCATCAAACTGGTGATAAAGTATCTTAAGAATGACATAATCATATATGTGTAGAAAAGTAAAGATGAAACAACCATTACGTTTAAACATATTTTTGAGCTTTAATTTGAAGTTTAATTAGTTGCTTATAATTGAAGAAAGCACGACAGGAAAAAAAAAAAAAAGAGAGAGGAACTTTTATGTTGATATCTCTCTATTCAAGGAATGTTTGATTAAATTATAACTGATAACTTATCAACCTAAATCAATGTTTGATTAAATTAAATTAAATTTTAAGTTATGCTAACAATTAGGACAACATAACCCTTATTCACCTTATTCGCTAGATAAAACTCATTAGTAATATTGGAACATACTACTAAGTTTAAGAATTATCGCAATCGGATTAAATTTGACTTTAAGTTTTTTTATGTAACATCCCAAAAATATCACAAATATATATTATGGTAGTCCACAATTCTGATATAAGAGAAAAGTCTTATTAATTACAGTCATCCTAAAAATGACTATAATTTAAAACTTTAAACACCCATAAGAGTATTTCAAGACAGTATAACTTAACTAAGAAATCCTAAATAAACTAAGTTGTAGCATCATTACCATCCAGGGTCTGTTCCAAGGGTACCTCATCCACATCTGCTCACATTCAAGTGGATGATCATTGCAACAGAAACACGACACAAACAACAGACAAACACAAACAGAAGGATGAGCTAGATATACAAAAATCATGTTATACAGTCACACACACAACATGCATAGTTCACTCAAAACATGGTAAATGACATTACAAGACTTATTGCATTATAAACCACTCGTCTGGACTAGAATGATTGTCGAGCTATGGCGGGTTATGCACTCGTGGTGGCCTCTACTGCTTTGCAAAGCCAATACCAATGGGTTTCACCCTACCACATTCACGAGGTTAGTCTGTTATCACTCACCTTGGGCCATACTGGAAGCACCCAAGACTAGGACCTCTTGCTACTCCTCACCACATGGATCAATCCTATCTACTTGAGAATGAAAGACCATTGGAGCGTTAGGAAAACCCCCAAGACTGAGCTACCATGCAAATCATTCTAAACATTCAGGGCACCACCATGAATCTTCTCCTTGAAGATCATGGAATTACGTCCATAACATAGGGCACCACCATGTGACCTCCCTTTAAGATCCATGGAATTACGTCCATCAACCATACTGTTACACTTACGCCAATCACAACTTTGTTTCATACATACTTCCAAACTATAATTCACACACAATACAACATACCCTCAATCATGTTGCAAAATCAAGACACCAAAATCAGTTATATAAACATACATACAACATGGCAGTCAAACAACAACAAACAGCTCAAACAGATGAGGAAAAATGTGAAACTCACTGAACCAGGTCGCATAGTGCACCAGGGTGCAAGGCAAGACAACAAAAATTCGCAGAGCGCATCACCCTTGGTGCATTGAG